GTCTGTCCTATCGTTGTTACTTTTCGAAAAATTTTTACGACCCCCCTCCCCCAACGTGGATTTGATACGACCCCCTTTTCCCTACCTCCACCATCTCCATCTTCCATCAAAACCCCGCCCACTTTTTCCTCCAAAAATGCCGTCGAGCGGGGGGGGGTATATCCACCATTTCAACCCATTTTTTCCACCCAACCTACTACCCACGAAATCTTAGTTTCACCTCAATCCCACACGTGATTTCGAGCGACTAAAGTGGGTACGACCCCCCTCCTACAAACTCAACCAGGTACGACCCCCCCCGTTGTTACTCGTAACAACGTAGGGTTGACCCTGCTAGGGACCCCTTTTCTGGTATTCAGAGGGCCGTTCAGGAAAAATTAACCATGGTTCTGTGGTTCCCGCATGTGCCCCTATATCATGCAAAAGACCGTTTTCAAAAAGCTTGGCACGCCCTGAAAGACCTTCCTGGTAGCCTGAAAAGGTTGCTCTTATTTTCTGTATTATCGGTGGCTTTTCCATTTGCGCTCTCGGTCCTCATGTCGCACCTCTACATTCTTTTTACATCTATACCATCTTGATCGTACTGTGCCTTTAAGTCAACCCAGCGTCTTCCATCTCGCAAAGTGGTCGCAGATTAAAGCAATTGGACTTACTGCACCTCAATTATTTTGGCCTATTTCAGGAATTGGCAAACTAGAAGACGCACAACTTTAGCCTGATGAAGTGATCTAAAAGTTGAACAATACACATCGGTGGCAGGTAGCTTTCTCATTCCTGGCATTATCACGTCTGTATAGAGTGGATCCTTCTCGTCAAGAACCTCACCACGGCTTTTGATTCACAACTTTTTCTCCATTCCAATCTACGAAAGATGGTTAGGATAATACATACAAGTCGACGTGAGCGGAGTAAGGAAGATCCTAGGTGGAAGTGGCCATTTGTAATGAAACTCATGTAGATGTATTCTTGAAAGCTAACCCCAAATTGCCTTCCAATCTGTAGAACAATTTTCTGATGCAGTTATGAATTGAAAGAGTGCAGCAGTAGTGGTGCTGGCCAGCAAGTCGTGAGAGCGCCTTGACGAGTTCTCGCCCTCTTGCTTTTTTCAAACTAATCCATGCTAGGTAGTCAACTTTATCCTAGGTAACCAGTGCGAGAATTAGCGAGGGAAGTCCGGAGTAAAGCAGAGAAATTTCCAATATGACCGCCGATGGCACCAGGTAGCGCACGGCGTTCAGCGCCTCTTGGCAACCAGAAGCTGCTATCTGTGCTTACGGGTGAATCTTTGGGCGATTTTCGGCCAGTCTGGGATTGATGATGTCTCGTCATGGGATAGAGTTCATGGAAGCGCTTACGATGATGAGGGAGCATAAAGCATGTGTACATACTGCGCCACACAAAGCAGTTACCTGGCTGTCAAGGGAACGAGATGTGGAGCTATCACTAGGCAAAGGTGCGTTGGCTCCTGACCAGGAATTCGAAAGCACCCCCCCCCCCCCCAAAAAAAAACGATCCGTCCATCAATTTGGTTGGCGATTTTGGCGAGCTGTACTGTCAGCAGCGACACACCTGGAGCAATTCGACTTTACATGGTTTGGCATGGTGTCACCAAATGTGTTGCATTACGTCCATACGTCAGCCGTGCCCGTCCTTGAGCGAAGATCAACGGCCTAACAGGGCCTGCTTTTCGAGCTTTTGGACCACTTCTCTGCTCCTTTATTTATTCTTTCTCCACTGGCGTAATATTGAGCACCCCCATGTCTCCTGTAAACCTCTCTAGAACCTGTCGTAATGAACCTTTGACCCTTTGGCATGCTTGTACTTGTTTGAAAGGGAAGAATACTGTCTCCTTGTTCACTTTATAAAGGATTTACAATTCACAAATTTTCGTCCGTTATTGATTTGTTTAGCCCTTCACCGGAGGTGACGTCACATCCTGTGATGTGAACGCTCCAGCATTGATAAAATAACTGGTCGGAAAGATCGTTGCTATAATGGGTTGCTAAGAACAAACTCTTCTGAACACTTGACAGCATTGTGAGCTGGTTAATTTCAGTTGCAGTAAAAAGACTAAACAACCATATTTACGAATAGCAAAAACATGATATTCGACAAGACTCGAATAATGTCGTCATCCTGGGTCAACTATCCTTGGTAAATACCAAAAGGTGTTCGTATTTGTGAGTCTGGGAGGGTTGGTCGCAGGTCAACCATCCGTTGAAAAGTTCTAACAAAGGCAGTTTCCGTTGAATTTGAAGGGGTCGTGTTTTTAGAAGCGTGAGACCGTTACTAAGGCATAGGTTTTTCAATACAGTATCCGCGAAAAGGGCAGGAATTGGAGTAATTATAGAATTTTTCGTTCCACCGGTTGCGTCAAAAAGAGGAATTCTGAAATTTCGGTGACAAGTTCTCAGGAAATTTTGGGGTGAGATTGGAATGCATTCAAAATCAGAGGGTGCGATAAGAGTTGTATGTGTAGGGGTTCATTTGAAAGATGCCGCGTGGAATAGTGAAATTTCAAATTTTTCATCAGCGTGACGGTGGGCTCATACTCGAATTGAGTCACCACAACTAACACTTGGCCAATCCTCTATCCACAGGCTATGACTACCGGTGTCTCTTGTCACGGATATGCATATGAAACAACCCTTTCTAATTCGTTCAGAAGATTGTTCCCCAATTTTGAGAGGCGGATTTGAGATCACGGTCCTAGAGCGAGCCTGTGAAAATAAGTCTCATTACAAATGGTCATTTCTGCGTGGAATCCTTTCCTTTCATGCATTTCGTTGAATTGTGGTTATAAGAGGACCATAGAGTGTCTCATACACTGATAACGGCTGACTAAGAGCGACGTCTCTTCACTTTTATGGCGCGGGAGTGTGGGAGGTAAGTTCATTCCTTTCACTATGATAAGAGTTATGGGTATTCTCTCAACGTTTTACCAGGACTTAAAGGCACGCTCCGGAGTTAGACGCGCTCGCCTGTTCCATCCCCGGGGTAGTAGACAGGCGGACAAGCGTTGATGTCGCGCCACCTTTTGCCGCTTGAAAGTGCGTGACAAAGCTGGGGTGGCGGTCCCATTGCTACCCAATTTTATTGGCACTGGAGCATTAGAGTTAGGTTCGTGAAACTCGTCCAACGCGCCCTTCTCTATCCCAAGTGGCTGAAATAGGGGAGGTCTCTGTGCGGGGCGTAATCGGTGGTTTCGTTTGCTTTCCTTCTCTTTTACAGACCACCTCCCACCTCTAGCTTCATAACTGAACGCTTTTCCACACCTATTTTATCCCGAATCTTTCTTTAAAGAGGAGGAAGCGCTAGGCGATTGAGTTGTCCGGAATGTTCGCCTCCTGTGCGCAACAGAGCTACCAAAGCTCAACGGGTAGAGTCTTAAAAATGCCTGAAATTAAATGTTACAGGCGCACATGACTTCAAAAACTCGACATTTTCCGGCAGCTTGGACGCTAGGGAGAGTTCGCAAATGTCTCGTCTATACTAGACCCTTTGAATATTCGTTGACCATCTTTGCTTTCCGCGAATTTGCGATTGAGAAATTTTGTCAATAGACTTCCAAAGTTGAATAATTTTATCAGGACGAAAATGGTCTGAAACTGTAACTGATCCCTGAAACAGATATGAAGAATGTTCACCGAAGCTTCGCAGGAGCATCAGGCTCGTCGACCATTTTAGCCTGCTTGATTCGAGCCAAGTAAAAGTCTGTGAACCAAAATGAAAACTTGCTACAGTTCCCCGAAATTTCGGAGAAATGAAATTGAGCTAGGTTTTCATTTGAGCTACTAGTATTCCGAGATTACGGCGCCTTACGCAGCAAAATTACGGCCCATCCCGGATATGAATTCCTAGCGTAGTGAGTTGGTCCACGTTCTTAGATCGGGACCCATGCTGGTCGAAGCCCGCGTGTGGTCCCTGAACTAACTGACCTGCTAGACTTATCACGTGGTCCCTGTCCTCAAAAGAGTGTCGTTGACGTTTCAACAACTGATCACGTGAATGAGGAAGCAGTTGTTTCACTTCCGTTGTAATAATAGCATGTTGAGATAATTTCAATTTTTTTAAGTAAAAATGATAAGCGAGGAGCAGAAAAGAAGGCGATTGTAGTTGTTTTTGTACATCCAAAAGATCCAAATTGAAGGCTGTGATCACGACGGCTGAAGGGCGTAGCGATTCCGATGATGTCATCGACGATTGGGGGGGGGGGTCCCAACCACACCCACCGGCATGCTGAGGGGTCCAGCTCACCGATGACGATATCAAAACTGCACCGCCCTCCAGCTATCGTGGCCATTTCCCTTGAGCGGCTTGAGCAAGATTGGGTCAGAATTTTGAGCCGCACATCAGGGGTGGATAAATTGAACCCTGGTCAGGAGCAACTCCCAAGTTGAAGATTCGCCCCGGACAGGGTTGTTGTACCCGACCTAGAGTGTTCACTTGCTTCACCTATCCTCAGTTGGATGCACATACATAGTTCTTTGTACAGAGGGGAGAGATGGACGTAACCAATTTTTTTATTTGTAGCTGAATTCTGCCTACGTTTTCATGCGACTTCTCTTGTCTCTAGCCTCACTTTTGAATGATACACATTCATTGCTTAAAGATATTGAAATGCTCGTTCCACTGGTTTGCGATTCACTTTCGCAAGTCGCCCGTAACAATCTAACAACGAGGGACGTGCTGATGCTGTAAATCTTGGGATACGGGACATACTTACGCTGAATACGAATTCAGTTTCTGTCCTTCGACTCTGCACGTTTTGGGCATCGTGCATGCCGATGGCGGTCGACATCCTAAAGCACCCTAAACTTCATAGGGCACAACTTCGTTTTTTGGCCATCCATGTAATGCTCGTAAGGTTGGCGAACAACTAAAGAAGGATGATGCTGTTGGAGTAAATAGAGGACACACTTCTTGTAGATTGAAAAGCTGACACAGCGCAATGACAAGCTTGTACCTGACGATAGGAGAAGAAGCAGTTCGTATACTACATGGATACGTTCTTCTATACAGCCAGTGTTAGTGGAGGCGGTAAAAGCAAAGGCTCAGAAGCCGTGACCCGAATTCAGCACTGGATGGCAGTTGTAGTTTTCGCACTGCTCCACTCGAATTCCGTTTGTCCAGTTCCAGCGTGCTACTTCTTCAAGACAGTCATCCTCGTGTTCCCACTCCGTCCTCAGAACATGTCAGCATTACTCCTCCAAAATGTCATTGAACCTATAACACAAGAAGTTGAAGGGAATAACAAGAAGAGGTAATGATGCCAACACTGGTATATCCAACCATAATTGGAAGAAGGTCAGGAGTATGCATTTTGCAATGCAGTCTCACTGATTAGGTTCAGTTGGTATCTAATTTAACCTTTACTACTAAACTGTCCTGAAGCCTCTTGAAGGCAGCGATTACGATAAAGTGGGTCGCGGAAGCATATGCACCACACGAATCAGTTACTTGGCTGCCAGGGAAGCGAGGTGTGGCGCTTTCACGACGAAAGGTGCGCTGGTTGCTGAGCAGGACTTCGAAAGCACTCCGCCCCAAAAGCGATCCGCCCACTGATTTGGACGAGCTGCGTTGCCAGCAGCGGCACAACTGGAGCAACTCGATTGGAGCATGGATTGGCATGCTGTCACCAAACGCGTTGCGCTGAACTCGTCATACGTCCGCTTTCTGAGCTGTTACCTGTTCATGAGTGAAAACCAACGGCCAAAAAAGGGGGTCCCGTTTTGCGTTTTCTTGACGGATTTCTCCGCTTTTTTCGCCACTGGCGTACCATTGAGCACCACCAGTCTCCTATAAACCTTCTTGAACTTATCGTAATCACTGTTTTAAGGATCTGAACGTGTTTATTACGTCAAGAGGTTGCAAAAGTCTATTTAAAAGACTTCTTTTGGTATGAATTTTTCAGCCACTTTGGACACAACGTTGAAAATGAAATCAAACGTAACATGACGTCATCGCAAAACAAACCGCGGGCAGATCCAGCAGTGCCAGAGAGACTACAACTCGGGGCACGAAGATGTTGCAAATTATCAAAAATTCCACGGCTGCTCCGCATGGCTTCTCCTTAATGACATATAATACTTCCATCTACAGTTCTTTCAATGCCTGCTACGGCTGGAGGTATCGTCCCTGGGAGCAATGTGGAGTAGTGTTTTACTGGACATCATGAATTTAACGGCTGCTGTCCCTCTATGGAGGTTCAAGTCAAGGGAAAGTCATGCTAAATCTTGAAATGACACTTCAGCGTTACAATAATACTAGTTAAACTTTGAGTTTAACAAAAAACCTTTCCGCGTGGGCGATAGTCACTTGTGGCATCCCCTCTGAAGTTCTCAATGGCCAAGCGTTCATGGCTTAAGACAGGATGAGTAAGGTGAATGAATCTCTTTGTTGGTAAGACGGAGCTGTTCACGAGTGTTGCAGATGACCCGCTCTTGCTGCTCAAAATTGGATGTTCAAAGGCACCAGAACCTCGCAAAGTCCGCTTTCACCACTTCCGTTTTTCTCAATTGCAACGCTGCTGTCTGTTCTCTATAATTCGTTGTGCTCTCTCGCCCATCTTCTCCTTGCCCACCATCAGTCTCTCCATGTCTTAACTTAAAAACACAGGTCGTGATTAGATCCTCTGAGGGTGTCTCTCTTCGACCAAAGCTGGAAAGAGCCTTTATTACAGCGGGCGGTACTGTCACGGCTCAAAAGTACGCGACAATGGAGCTAATGCCTTCGCTTCTCCACTCCGACTGCTGCCATTCTTATCAACCGCAATATACGTCAGGTCTGCGCCCTCTAGCGTACATCGTGCTCCCTCACCTTTTCGCTCTCCTAGCTATGCTTTCGCTCTTTCTGTCGTACGATGGTCGACTTCCTCACAAGAAAAAATTTCACTGTTTTCCGTGGTGCCCCCTTTGCTTCTCCCCCCTCTGATGTTCCTCTTCTCACTTGTAGTCTAATTTTCATTCAAAGTAACGCACCAATTCGGTCAGACCCATGTTTCAGAAGCGAGCAGACCTTTAGCATTTTCTTTTTGAACAGACTCCTTTCTTTTGTCTTCACTGTCAACTCGCACCGGTGCTTTCATTTCGTGTGCAAGAACCACACCACTCTTGTGTTGAGGCGTGCCTTTCTGGGATCCTTGACGCGTGTGCTGTTCTTAACCGCTTGAAAAATATTGGGTTGATGCATAATTATTGCGGATTTTTTCAACAAATTTTATTCAGCGAAAACGATAAAAATATTTAACAAAAACATGTTTAAATGATTATTCCGGAGCGTAGTCACCATCCTTCAAGAATGCTTCCCATTTGCTTGGCAGTCGCGGGTGAAGAAGTCACGATTCTTGGAGACGATCCACGCTCTAACATCGGCCACCAAGTCATCCAGCTCGTCGTAAATTTTGTTCGTTTGCCAGTTTTTCAACGACTGATTGAAGTGGTAGTCTGTAGGAGCGGTCGGTAAATATGGCGTTTTGAACCTCTTGAACCATCTTTCAACTTGGCTTTTGCTGATTGTTCCCTCGCCGAAAAGTTCGTTGAGATCGCGAAATGACTCTGCCGCCTTCCAACCTTTCTCGAAGTGGTAGAGCATATGTGGCGAATACGTGATTTCCGACAAGCATTTTCCGATAAGCATTTCTGTTAATGAAAGAGTGGAAGAATATTTCCATGAAAAGTAATAAAAAACGGCAATCTTTTCGAGAAAAGAAGGGGCGACAAAAAGCCGCAGTAATTATACGGTGACATCATATTTATTACACAGAATATTTGAATGACCAAATTCATACAGACGTTTTCCTTTCGTCTGCAAATGGAGGAGTTTGTTATTCATTAAAGTGTGAAATCTGTAACCGTGTTATTCTTTTGCACATAGAATCTAGGGCACTGTTTTTCTTCAAAGTACGGGATTTGAGACTTTGCTCCATGAGCAACTGCCTGGATCACGCGTTTCTGCTAGCAAAGTGCATGTTTGTTTTGATTAATTTTGCGCCATATGATTATGTGCATGGTTGAGTGGCCTTCGATGACATCATTTTCGAATTTAGCCTTGACAATTTCGAAACCATAAGATCAGTCTGTAACTGATTATGGCGTTTATTTGTAATGACATTTCTTCGTGGAGATCGAGCAGGTCTTATCATCTCGTTGTCGCTACTGCCTACCGTGTAAAAGTAGAACCGTGTCTTCCCCGAACTATTCTCTCGAGAGCAGTTTTCGGTACCTCCAAACTTAACCTAAGCTTAATCTTAAAAACATGGTGTTCGACCGTTCTGATGGGTTATTTTATTCGAAAAGAGGATAAAAAGAAAGAAATGTGAAGGGCAACGTGAGTGTTGAAAAGCAGAAAGTGAAGGAATTATGGACGTTCTTCTCCAGAGATAAATCTTGGTACTATGGAGAGACGGCGCCGCGAGGAGAGGCGAATCGCGAGTGAGCACGTCGTGTGCGAGAGGGCGCAGACGCCAAATACGCTGCTATGGATAAAAATGGCAGCAATCGCAGCAGTCACAAAGGCATCCTCTACCTTATCGCGCAGTCGCGAGTTTCTACAGTAAAACTACCTCTGTTTTTAGGGGGCCTGCTACCTAGGACTTCTTCATGGGTCTAATGACCTTTGACCTTTTAAGCGCAGCACGTTGTCAAATTGGCAGCAGACTTCAAGCGCTTCGCAGCTCTCCATGCAGATAGCCCCTTCCAAGAATATGTATGAGTGACGCTTTGTAGGAGACAGAGTGGTATAAGCGGTAGCGAGTGGTAGCGTATCCACCATATGCTCCAATCTTGCACTGGTCGTGCCTTTTCTCTTCCGTCTCCCACTGGAGTAAAGTGATGGCCAAGTTCTGGAGGCTTAACTCGCAATTTTCGACGCGAGGAAGTATTGCTGTGATGAATTTGCCGCTCTCCATATGTTGAGGCTTGTGAAGAGTTCGTGGAATAGAAAGACGATTAAGTCAATCAGAAGGGATTGGGTCTCAGGTCAAATCAGCGTGTCAGAGCTACTCATCACTCATTTTCACGTTACTTGACCCTTTAGGAACGACAGGGGATAGCCATGAAGACAGCTGGTGAACCTGTCAACAGACGTAATCCCCATCAATCGACTTGGCAACCCGTCTGTGCCGTGCCCTTCTTGCCGTGGTATAAGTCTCCCGAGACTGCCCTAATCATTTCCTGAAGAGCCATGTACAAGAATTTTTGTAATAAATCACGACATTAATACAATGTCATTCAAAAAAATCATCCAGAGAACGTGACAGGTCCAGCTATTCCAAGGGTTACTTCATGTTATTGTTGCCAGTTTTCCTGGTCGTAAATGTGGCCTTAGGGTCCTTTCCAATGATGGCATGTGTTACATGATCCAACGCAACCGCTCGCGGCAGCACTGGCGAGTCGCATCGCATTGTAGACGCTCGCTTTAAGAGAACTGAAACCCTGATAGTGCGCAAGTGCTTTTATTCGAGCTCCCTAGGTTCGGGTCAAACGAGTATTAGGAAATTCATTCTCATAGTCGTTCTGTCTGGGTTTTCTTTTCGAAAAACCGATCGCAGATTGATGTTAGAACAATCATGGATACCTTACATATAAAACGAAGAGGAAGATTGATAACACCTGCCCAAATCGCCGAACAACAAAACCTGAAACGTGTGGTTCTTCTGCCTTCACGAAGCCATGCCAAATAGCGTGATAGTGATGCTGCTGATGGAATGGGGTGATGGGAAATTGAAACTAGGAGCGATTCGGTTGGAAGCGGTGTAAGCGATTGCATCAGTGTGTTGCGGCGACGTATTCGCCCACATGCACCACACGTGGAAAGGAGTTGGGGGTTACACCATGGGACAGCCGCCACCGATGCCGGCGCCGCACTTTTTGCAAGGTCTCTTCCAATGCTCTTCGATCGCCATACCCACGCCACCCTGCCGAATAGATAGCATCGCTCTGCTCCCTTTTTTCCACACCACGTCCACACTGTCTCTCAACGATTCTTGGCCTGACCGATAGGCGCATTTGCAACTTGCAATAAAAGGAAGCGGTAATCATCGCGGCTAGAGGAAGGCGAACAGCGATATTTATCTAATTTTTCGGTGAAATCGTCTAGTTCTCAATGTTCCACGAAACTATCTCTCACATAGTAGAGGTTTTCTAGGTGAAAGCTTTATTTAGCGGCCCGAATTTTCGACCACATCGTCTTCCTCGAAGGCCCGGTTCGCCACCGTGGCGAAGCGCGTCAGTAACAATTTTTCTACCCACCGCAGTTGAAACTGAGAGCTGTCTCGCTCTTGGGATGGTAAATAAGCTTTTGAGGAAGACGATCTGGTCGAAATTTTGGAACGTTTAATAAAGTTTCAACTAAGGGCTCTACGGCGCAAGGAACGCATAGATATAAAGTAGACAAGTTAGGAAACTTTAGACTTCTAATATTGCTATGCCTCCATCAGACGAGCGTATACTACCTGAGAACACCGTGGGTAAGGAACTAGATTTTGTAGTAACAGTACAGGTCTTTGGCGTCGATTTACGTCTACTGCTAGGATGATCCTTCACCTAACCAGGCTCAGGTGTGTCTGACTTGGGTTTCACAACAGGTTCCAATAATATCTATAATTTGTGTATTATCAGCTCCTCGTGCACGGATCAGCGCAGGACAAGAATTTTGGTTATAATATCAGTTATAACATCTGCTGGCTAGGCTAGGAACTTCAGAATTAACTGTATTTTTTGTTTGTAAGAACCCCTTTAACATCCCTCCTCATAAGGAAGGATCATAGGGCCTTAAGGGACAGCGAAAGTAGGATTACGTGTAGAGCAATAACGCTTCTGTGGAGACAGACCAAGGATCGACCACATTTATGATCTTGTGTGCGCCCCGCCACCCGTGCGAAGTAGGGCAATGATGGGCAGTTTTTTTATTAGTCAGTACCCGACGGGCAGGCCACAGCTCTTCTTGTTAACGTCCCTTTTTGATACTCTCTTCGGTGCTATACAAGTAGGGTGGGCACGCCGCATTTTTTGAACAGAAATGTATGTAAGTGGGACTGCTGCTCGCTACTATACTGTCACGAGAATCGGGGAATCTTCGTCAGAAAGCTTATTACCATCCCAAGAGCGAGACAGCTCTCAGTTTCAACTGCGGTGGGTAGAAAAATTGTTACTGACGCGCTTCGCCACGGTGGCGAACCGGGCCTTCGAGGAAGACGATGTGGTCGAAAATTCGCGGCAGGGGGCCGCTAAATAAAGCTTTCACCTAGAAAACCTCTACTATGTGAGAGATAGTTTCGTGAACATTGAGAATTAGGCGATTTCACCGAAAAAATTGGATAAATATCACTGTTCGCCTTCCTCTAGCCGCGACGATTACCGCTTCCTTTTATTGCAAGTTGCAAATGCGCCTATCGGTCAGGCCAAGAATCGTTGAGAGACAGTGTGGACGTGGTGTGGAAAAAAGGGAGCAGAGCGATGCTATCTATTCGGCAGGGTGGCGTGGGTATGGCGATCGAAGAGCATTGGAAGAGACCTTGCAAAAAGTGCGGCGCGCCGGCATCGGTGGCGGCTGTCCCATGGTGTAACCCCCAACTCCTTTCCACGTGTGGTGCATGTGGGCGAATACGTCGCCGCAACACACTGATGCAATCGCTTACACCGCTTCCAACCGAATCGCTCCTAGTTTCAATTTCCCATCACCCCATTCCATCAGCAGCATCACTATCACGCTATTTGGCATGGCTTCGTGAAGGCAGAAGAACCACACGTTTCAGGTTTTGTTGTTCGGCGATTTG